CCCCGCCCCCACCCCTGTGTTGGCATCTTGTAGGAAACCCTGGAGCTCTACGTGGCAGGGGTCCTGAAAGGCTTGCTGGCCTTCGACAACGCCACAGCGCACTCTTACACCGAGCTACTGGTCAGGTACCGAGCATCATTCCACAACTATTCTGTCGGGATGCACTACGGCTCCGACTGGTTCAAGTACCTGGATCGCCATTGGATCAACACCAACCACTGCGAGACCGGAGTGTCGCCGAAAGAGGGGGTGAGAGGCGGTGGAGGGGTGTTGGTGCACGGTCGCGACGGTGGGAGTTTGGTTTTGTTTCTGGCGCGACCCCACATATGCGGTAGCATTTGACATGTAATATCGGTCAAAGGTAGTGTCCTGCTCCATCCGCGGCCCAAAGCAGTAGCGTATTGCATAAGCCTCTTTCTAGAATCTTTTCGCCTGGGTTTCTCTCGCCTTCGCGTCAAGATTGTGTACTCCTGCTGCATCCCCTCTCAGTAACATCTGTCTTATGCCGTTAATATTTCACAAAATATCTTCGCGCTTCGTTCGGTTCGGCCGTCTCGCTATTCTCGCCTGGCGCGACGCCCGCCTGGTTTGTACAAACCTGACGGGTTCGCTTGTCAGAGTGCGAGGGATCTATCTATGTATGGCAACGAGTGTGCACCTTGACACTGTGGTCTCTGCCGCGTTCGAAACGTGTTTGAAAAAATATATATAAGGTGTACTTCGTGCGCGAGATGTCGCTGATGGTGTGGAAGGAGCGCGTGTTCGAGGCCCTGAAAGAGCGGCTGCGGCACAACACCATGAAGGTCATCAACGCCGCTAGGGAGAGGAATCTCAGCAACCTGGACGACAACGACGCCGTCAGATCCCTGCTAAAGACGTGAGAGTTCGTTCGGCGCACGTACGACGCCGCATCCCACCCACCCCTGTCCCCCCCATCGCAATAGTCTGCCTTTTCAAGAATCTCAACAAGGTGGAATGAAGGTTGTTCACTGATACGCAGCAGTATACTCAAAGTATTGTGTTAGTCTCGTCAAAAGCTTGCCGAGGACTCCTCCTTCGGAATTCACACCCTTGTCGGCATGGAAATATCGAGCGACGAGATTCGGTCCAGGGGGGGTGCGGGGGGGCACACTCTTGTCGTCATCG